AGATAGATAGATAGATAGATAGATAGATAGATAGATAGATAGATAGATAGATAGGCCTTCAAGTCAGTGTTGACTCCTGGTGACTGCCTGGACTAGTCCCCTGAGTTTTCCTGGCAGGATTTTCAGAAGTGGTTTGCCATTGCCTCCTTCCTAGGGCTGAGAGAAAGTGACTGGTCCAAGGTCACCCAGCTGGCTTTGTGCCTAAGATGGGACTAGAACTCATGGAGTCCTGGTTTCTAGCTTGATGCCTTAACCATTACACAAACTGGCTCTGCAGATATATTAGCTAAAATCAATTTAGAAATGTTCTAAAATATTTCTTTGTGAATACACACACACACGCACACACACAAATCTTTGGAATAAATTCCACTGGATTAAGTAACATTTATTTTCTAATAGATATACATGATGTTAAAAAGTTATCATTTTACAATGAAATCTACAATGTATCATTGGAATACAAGTGTTTGCACACATTTATTTATTTGTTGTATTTATGAATACAAAGTACAGAATACTTGTAAAACCAAGCTCCTATGAATGAAGTTGAAATTTAATATTTGAACTAATTCAGATGGATGTTGAATGATTACTCAGAATCATAATCTATAGACCCTTCTCTTTTCATTGCTCCTTGTCACAATGTTCAATTTCATGAAACACACTTATAAAGATTGTCAGATTCTTTAAATTATAAAGAATTAAAAATTCTTGTCATATGAAGGAGCTGTTATCTGAGAAAGTTCATTTAGTTAAGATTTTAAAATCAGTGAAATAACTCACAAGCAACTTACACTGCACCAGTTTCAACGGGTTTACTCTAAGCATGACTAAATATGGTTTCAATCTTCTTTTCTCCCTCTTTCTCTCATTTAAGCTATGCATGTTATTAGTACTCAATTTACTTCAGTATGCAAGGTATAAATTATATGGGCCTCTCTGGCTAGGCTTAGGATTAAAAAGCCCTATATATTTAAAATTTGTTTTCATTGTAACATGCATGACAGTTATCTATTATACTGTATACACTCTCTCAAAGAAATAGGCTATTATATTACTAAAAACAGACCTGTATTAAAATATATATGTTCTGTGGAAGAAGTGGAGAAATTGGCTTCAGGACAAGTCAGCAAGTTTAGCACCACCTCATTACTGGCACACATTTCCAGTGATAATAATGTAAATCCACCATGGTGAGCTTAGTTAAAGGAGAAATCTATTGTGAGCACAGCAGGGGGGGAGTTTGAACATAGCAATTTCAAAACCACTACTGTCATGCTAGTTGATGTGTGGACAAAATAAAATTGGGACATGCAGTTTTTAATTGCTTCAAACAATAATGAGACTAAAATAAGTAACCCCCCACCCCACCCCTTGATATAAAGAGGAAAAAAAAGCATAATCTTTGAATATACATATGTTCTCCCAGTAAGCCTTCTGTTTTGCAAACTGCTGTTTGGGAGAAACAAAAGGACACTCATCTAATTTTACCCAACTTGCTACTTTCTGGATGTTTTGGAGAAATCACAGATTGTTCAGCAACTATAGTTATTGGTTATGCTGCCTTCGAATTTTGAGATGTGTAGTCCAAAAGTTCTGCAAGGAAGTAACCATTTAATCTCCTACCGTTTAGCTTTCTTACAAAAGGAAATGTGCTTTCTACAAAGGATACTTAAGATTTACAAAAGAACATTCAAGTAAGTCCCACTGATTTCAATGGGATTTACTGCCAAGTCTTCAGGCTTTTCTTTAATATTGTAGGAGATGGCTGCAAAAATGCCTGCAACTGGCTTTACCCACTTGAGTATATCTAGCATGCTGGAAATGTTCTCAAACTACAGCATGTTCAACCTGAGTCTGAAAGAAATACTGTGAATTGGTTCTATAAAAAAAGAGAAAAAGTCTGATTGGGGTCTCCATCATGTTGTAAACATCACCCAGTACAAAGCTGGCTTTCTTCAGATTCAATACTATTGATTTGGTCAAGCAATTTAAGCACACAGGGACCATCAAGAGGAAGATGCTAGCTTTTCACTTTATTTCAGCTTTTCACCTCATATATTCATATATGAACATCTGGCCTAATATTGTCAATGGATTCATGTCCTAGGAAAGATTTAAATATGTCTTTTTAATAAAGCCAATAAAGCTAATAATATGAATGAATGAATGAATGAATGAATGAATGAATGAATGAATGAACAACTACAGGTCATTACACGTCACAGATCCATCAAATGCCACACTACCTTTCTGAATTCAGTGTTGTCACTGAAAAGCATTGCTTCAAAATGCTATAGTTAGATTGTGCCGTGTTAGATATTTGGAGCATCCTATTTTAGCTACTACTAAATATTTCAATTGCTAATTTGTTCTTGTTTCTTAAGCACACAGCATAAGATGCTGGTTTTGACCTTTAATAACCTAAATGGCATGAAAGCAAGATATCTTAAAGGCCAGCCCTTTAAAACTGTTTGGGAGCTCTGTTCTGCTTGTGAACTACACTACTGCCCTACTCCTTCCTCACCATTAGTAACAAGGTATATGGGATAAATGTCAGGACATCCTCAGTTGTGAAATGTAAACTGTGGATTGGTCTCCTTCATTCATAATATTTCTTTAATAGCTTGGGTTCAACTATAAAGAAAAAAAAATAGAAGGTTGAAAGCAAACAAGTAAAGTTGTTATAGTTTGAACGTAATGGCAAAACACTTTCATTTTCAACTGTAAATTGTAAAAGCATCTTCTTGTACTTGGGGGACAGGAAGGAGCATATGAAAAGACAAATCCTGAGGGAATAACCATGCTTTACAGGGAAGGAGTCAGAAGTCCCTGAAGCAAAAGAAAGATGCCACTAAATTCATCATTCTGGCAAAATAATGGATGCCTGTCTAGACTTTACTAAAGTGGCCAATTAGTAAATCATTTCTGATAGCTATAGTGAGCTCCTTCATACTGTTTTCTAAAAAAACAGAAATTACCAAATGTTCTGCCCTGCCATCTTTCCTGAAGCTGAAATAAAAAGGCTTCAAGTTGGGTAATTGATACTTGGTTTGTCCTAAAATTAGCAAAGTTTAGAGACAGAGTATCCCAAAAACCCATCTATCAATTCTTACATGTTCAGGTAGGGCTGACAACAAACAAACAAACAAACAAAAAACCACCTGCCTTAAACACTGAATGCTCTATCAGTTAGTTGGCAATATTAGGCACAATAGTGTTACTCATAATGCGACGCCTAAGTTTCAGTTCTGGGAACTTCCAGCCCTGGATTGTCATGTTGATATGCTAAAAAAATGGGATTCTTTTTCCAGGTGGAAAGTTGCAGATTTTCCAAGCATTTTCTAGATACACTTTTTCTCAATTTTATCTATTAGAATGATAAAATTGGAGAGATAGACAGGACCATTTAGGTCACCAAATCTAACTCCCTGCTCAGCAAAGAAACCCAAAGTAAAGCATATTTGACAAATGGCCTCTCAAGCTTCTCTTGAGCCCAACCAGCAAAGGGAGCCAGCCAATCCTTAGATATTATTATTATTATTATTATTATTATTTAGATTTATTATGGCCACCTACTCCAAAAGACTGTATTGGTTCCACTGTCAAATTGTTCCAACAGGTAGGAGTTTTTTTCTAATACTCAACTGAAATCTGCCTTTCTGTAACTTAAATACATTATTGTCTGTCTTGTGATCTGGAATAAGGAGGACTTCCTTCTGTGTGACATCTGTTCTGGTATTTAAAGATTACAATCACCTTTGCTCCTTTCTTAAACATAACCAGCTTTTTTCATTTCTTTTCATAGTCCTGATTATCCTTCTTACCACTCTTGAACCCTGTTCCAGTGTGTCTGAATTAAAGTAAGGTGCCTAGAACTGGACATTATATTTGAAGCTGGAGATCTGACCCATGCAGAATGAAATGAAACTATTTCCTCCCATTATTTAGAAGCTATGCTTTTGTCAATGTTGTCAATGTGTTAAAATTGCATTTTCTTTCTTTTTTTCCCCCTCTGGCAGCCACTCTTCTAGCTCATCATCAGCTCGCAGTTAATTACTATTCAATTATCTTTTTTCATAAATGCTGTTGCCAAATGAGATAACTTTCATTCTATACTGTTAGATGACCCATGACAATTTTGTGTTATCTGCACATTTGGTAAGGATCCTGTCCATCATGTCATTTAAGTCATTAATAAAAATGGGTCAAGGAATGAACTTTATAGCATCATAGTTAATATCTCAATGCAATTTGATGAAGAATTATTAGTGGGCACTTTCTGAATATGATTTTTAAGTTAGTTATGTATGTACTGAATTATCTAGCCACTAAACCCAGCCTTAACTAGCTTGCTACATGGAGTACTTTCTCAAACACTTTGCTAGAATAAAGTTATATTATTTTTATGGCATTCCCGCAACCTATTAAGGAAGTTACCTGATTTTTTAAAAAGTGAGATTGGGTTGGTCTGGTAAATTCATACTAACTTCTGTTACCCACAGAACTGTTTCCAAGGTGCTTTAAAATCTGCTTTTTAATGATTTACCTAACCTCTTCCCAGGCATCAGATGCAGTCAGACTGAATTTTCATGAGTTTTCCTTTTTACTCTTTTTCAGATAGGAGCTACATTTGTCCTCTTCTAATCATCTAGCACTTGACCAGCTTCTGGATTTCTCAAAGTAAATTTTCAGCCAGACTATCAGCAATTTTCTTCAG